ACATCTCTCATCATCCAAATTGTGGGAAAGTCAACACACACCAGTGCCAGCGACAAAGGAGGTAAAATGGGCAGAATCGGGAGGCTCAGGGAAGGACTGACCTTGGAAGTAAACACAATCACCTCCCACCTGTGCAAGAACCGTGACATCTGGAAGATGCTGGGGAAACAAGAGCCCTGGTTCTCTGCTGTGCAATCGGAGGCAAGCAGTGCTGAACCTTTAAGCATCTTCCTAAAGCAACGTATCTGGACTGCCAGGCCTGGGGACAGCCCACGGGACAGGCCTTTTCCCCAAGGGAGCACCAGGGTAACAATGATCCCATCTGATTCAGTTCGGAGGCGTCTTGCAGGATGGCAGGGCAACACTGTACTTCCTCAACCCCAAAGCACCAAGCAGCACTGCCTTCTCAGAGGCCCAGGTTTTAATTTCCAGAGATGCCGAGAATAACATGGTACTTTTATTTTTAAAAACAAAATGCCTGCAACATCTTATCAGTTTGTAAGTTTCTAGAGTGTGGCCTTAGGCAAAGTATGCACCTCTCTGAATACGATTTTCCTCTGAAAAATGGAGAAAATAAGACTTTCCCCCACCCCAGAGTAAGTGTAAAGCATAAAAGTGCTCTTTTACACGAACGTGCCGGGCACACAATACCGGCTCAATATGCGTTTCAGAAATATCCCTATAACTCTCGAATGGCAGGAATCTACCTTCAAAGCAAGCTCCTGGAATGCCACCACAGCCGTTGGCTATTCCCTACGCAAACTGCAGAGACATCTGTAATTATACTGTCACTGTGGCCACTGTAGCGTTATCCGCTATAGTCTTTTAAACAGGGAGACTCTTTCCTGAAAAAAATCCTGACCTACACTGATCAGCTCTCAGTTTTGCAGAAATTTTGATGGAGCCCAGAGCAAGCGGGGCTCTGGGAGGTTGACCATGGGCTGGTTTGTCTCCTAGAGGGAGGTGATGCTCCTACAGGGTGGTCTGGCCTCTTTAAGAGAAAAAAAAAAAAAAAAGAAGTTACACAGACAAAAAAACAGCAACACAAACCAACCAAAAATGCCAGGAATGCAAGCTCTGCCAACCAAATAAATAAATAAAATGTGAGATACTTTATAATAACTGGACATATATTTCCCAGCCCTGCATAATTGAAAAACTCAACTTTTCCATCAACCCTACAAATGTCCCCCTTACCCCTAGACTTGATGCCCTTCCCACTTGGAGGTGACACTGGTGACTTCCATCACCAAAGTAACCAGCCAACTCTTGTGCCTCTACAATCGGACCTGAAGACACTCTGAAAGTTCCTGCTCACTATATTTGCTCCCTAGAGATCAGAATGAAGCTTCATCAGCATGAGATCTCAGCTAAGCAGGTAAAAAAGGCTCTGAAACTTTACTCTTCTTTCCCTCCCAAATAATATTAATAGATATGGGGAAGTGCCCAATACAACCACATACCCCAACAGACATTTCAAGGGCTTCTGAAAATTCTACACTGGTCAGGATCATTTTTTGTTGATTTGTTTTCTAGTTAACATATATATAATGTATATGTAAATAAAATTTATATGCATCAGGCACTATTTGAAGATTTTGCACATATTCATAGATTTAATCCTCTTATCAACCCTATGAAGTAGAATGATTACACTCATTTTGCAGATGTAAGACCCGGAGCACAGAGACATTAAGTCATTTTTCCAAAGTCACACAGCTACTTAGTGGCCAAGCTGGGATTCAAACCCAGACAGTCTGGCTCCAGAGTCCCTGCTCTGAACCACTGGGCCCTTTAGTCACTAATGGAGCGTGGTCAGCAGGGATCTGGGAGCACAGTGAACAAGTGATCTAATTGCCTAGGCAGCTCTGCCCTTCTTCCTTGTCTACACTGATGAAGAAACAAAGGCTGGCCAAGCCGGGTGAGGACAACGTTTCTTCCTATGTCTAAGGGCAATACGGTCCCCACGGATGGACACCCTCTGCTGCGGTGTGGTAGGGGGAGGGGCTGATCCTTTTATTCTTATCAAAGAGCAAGCATCGAAAATCAAAATCGGAACTCCTGCTCTTATCTGGACGTCAGGCTCACCTCACGGAGAAAGTGGAACAGAGTGGTGAAGGAGAGGAAAAATTAAGCGGCCTGGGAATGTGTTTGCTTTGGCACCCAGCCTGGGGCCCTTCTTAGCAGGCTCCACACCAGGAGAGAAGCAGGAGTGAACCCACTGGCTGTGCTTATTTTTAGCCTATTTAAGATCTGAGAACCTTGCAATCACACCCGTTGTAATCAAACAGTATATATCACTTTACACTTACAAGGAAATTTCAATTCTAATGTCCTTTCAAAGTATATTTTCATTTTGTACTTAACGCTATCAAAATCCTGTGAGGTCTTGAAATAGAATAGAATGGTCAGGTCCTAGCACAAAGACAGGCAACTAGCCCAGGTCTTCAAACCCCTGTTTGGACAGCCCACTCCCCTATTCCCTCTCTTTGGCTCTCATAGGTTTTGGAGGGGCGGGGAGGAAACTCTGGTTTCATCATTTAAGCCAGATGAGATCCCACACTCGTTGCCTCCACACATAAGAAACTAAGCAGTGCAAAGAAATCACTCTGACAAATATCTAAGTCACAGCTGTGGACACAAAGCCGCGCTGTGAGAAGTTAAACTTTAAACACATGTCCTATATGGTCTGATGGGCAAAGCAAATCCCCACTTAGCCAATGTCTTGTCCTTCCACTAACAAAAGCACGGAACCCTGGCCGATGTTTCTTCCAGCTTTGCACCTGCAAGTTTAAGTCTCAACTGAAGTTTCTTTGCTGAGTTTTTCAAAGGTAACTTGCAACATTACTCAAGGCAACGTGCATTGAGAAGTTAGAAACAGGGAGCAGCAGCTCACTAGGTATTTTTATGTCAGTGTACTTTTTCTGTGCCTCTATCTTCCTCTCTGCAGTATGGGTATAATACTCACATGTAAGCAAGTAATGGTCCAGAAAACATCAGCTAAAACTTAGTTCTTATATTTTACATATATTTTCAAGTTTCTTTCTTTATTTTTCCCAACAAAGTAAATAATAGTGCTAGAAATCAAATATCCTTACAATGAATGGCAGAAGGCTGCTCAATTTCTTTGGCCAGTTGAAAATGTGTTGTATTGAAGGTCAACTACAAAACCTGATCAGTGGCTTGGAAATCTTTTCTGGAAAAGAAAGCCATTGTAAAGGTGCTTGTTATAGCGGATGTTGACTATACCATTCTGCCTTACCCGTCCCCGTTTTCAGATAAGAAAGCTAAAGAAAGTTACTTGCCCGGGGCTTCTTTTTTATCAACAACTGAAATAATAGCACCATATACTTTAAATCTCTAATATTTAATATTAAAGTGCCAAAAAAATGCTCAGCTGTTTACTGTGATCTAAAACATGTGTTGCCAGGGGCTCTTTTTCTTTCCCTGCATTGACATATGTACACATTACTTCCCAGATGACCAAATCTCTCTCTTCCCCATAAACACTCATAACAACACATATAAACAAGCCATTCTTAAGGAAAACACCTATTAGTTGAGTTTATGTCTTTGCTGTGAACTATCCTTTCACTTCTATATATGGCTTGAATTAATTGTGACAAACAGAACTTATTCTGGCTTCCTTGAACCCCCAAATGCAGCCCTCATACGCGATATCATTTCTGAATTGTAGCTCTAAGTGCCTGAACTGTCTCCACGGTTCTAGTCTATCTTAGCACTGCTCTGACCATCGTCATCCTTGTGACAAGAAACAAACTCAGCCTTCTTTATACACTGCAGTCCTGGGGTTGAATTTTTGGGGGCCCACGGGGAAGGGACATGATTTATGTGTCTTTATTAACATTTCTGAAAGATCTCAGAATGACAAAACATCATCTTGGCTTGCGTTGAAAGTTTAAGACAATTAAGAAAGGGTTAAAAGAAGCAGCTAATTATGGCAGAGGCAAAGAAGTGTTAGCTACAGGAAGCAGCAACTGAACTTATTGATAATCACATGCAACAGAGGTGCATATTACTGCAATTAATTATTTTCCAGAATGCATCACCTTCTCTGTAATTTTTCTATGTACCTTCACCTTCAAAATTACCAGTCTCCAAGAAGAGCTGGCAGTTCCCTACCCTAAAGCAGTATCTTTCCTTCCCAAACTGCATTCATTCTGGGAATTCTGTAGAGCCAGACTCCATTAAGCTGCTTAGCACCAAAATTAGTGTCCAAGACAAAATACAATTTATTTCCTATCCTTCTCTTCTTCAACTCTATACAAATCAAAGAGTTGGACAATATGACAAACCAAAGACACAAAGTAATGTTTGGGGTTGGGATGCCTTCCTTCTTCTGACGGCTCTTGGTACCAGGGGACAGGCACATTTATGGCACATTAGAAACGCGAGTAAAGTAACCTGCGTGAATAGGATAGGATGCTTCCCACAGTTGAGGGAATAATTCCAGTTCTCCGCCCATCTCCTTACCCTCGACTCAGAAAAGAGGAGCAAGACAGCAAAGGACATGTGACAGGGGCGCCCAGGGCGGCCAGACATCCCTTGCAAGTCTGCTTGAAGGCCAGCCGGTTAGACCTCGCAGGGCCCTGCGCCCAGCTCCAGGTCTGGGGGATGCAGGGTCCGGCGATGGTGTCCTCTGAGGCCGTGCCCTCCTCTCCCCTAACGCCGAGGAATAAAGCCAGCGGGTTCTCGCTCACTTGGGAAAATATAAAAGCAGGAACGGGGCGGGGTGGGGGGCGCTGGAAATTCTGTAAGCTTTTTCCCACTACTCACAAAAATACAGCTGTGAAAATAAACACCACCCCACCAACCGAGGGTCTCAGGCCACCAACAGTCCTCCTCCTCCTCCTCTCTCCGCGGCCGGCAGCATCCCCGCTCCCGCAGAAACGCACGTCCCCGAGGGAACGGCTGAGCGGGGAGACGCGCAGGGGACCCTGCCCTGCCGAGGCGGGTGGGGCCGGGCAGTCGCCACTCACCCGGGGAGGGGAAAAGCTCCAGGTCCACTTTTTCCGTCTTGATGATGGTGAGAGTCGGTTTGAGGTCGACGGCCGCCTTCATGGTGCCAGGAGCGGGGGCAGGCGGGCTTATAGCAAGTTTGCTGTTGCTGTTTTTCTTTTGAACGGGGATGAGTAACAGGGGAAAGGGGCCGGGAGAATCCGACTTTCTGCCCCAAAATCGCAAATTCCCGCTGACTCTCCCCGCGCCCGACGTGCGCGCCCCGCACTGTCTCCGGACAAGTTGGCACTTCGCGGAGAAGTGAGCGCGCTCGGCTCGCGCCTCGCCCGCGCCCCGCCGCCCCTCCGGCCCGGCCCTCGGCCCGCCGCCCGCTCGCCGCCGCAGGCCGCTCGGCTCGCTCTCGCGCTCC